TAAACCTGCCTCTACCTGTAATCAACCTCAATAGCAGAAAAAGTGTTTTGCAATACAACATAAACAAAATAAGTACACTGTATACCTAAAAAGTTTTTTTTACGTAAGTACAGTGTAAAAGTATAAAGACACCTATATAAAGTGTGACCAGTATGTGTGTGTGTGTCTATCTATCTATCTATCTATCTATCTATCTATCTATCTATCTATCTATCTATCTATCTATCTATCTATCTATCTATCTATCTATCTATCTATCTATCTATCTATCTATCTATCTATCTATCTATCTAATTACATTTAAAATAATCCAGTTTGATTAAATTGCAACAGGCAATTAGGAGTCTGAACAATGAACATTACATTCGGTTAAGTAACCTATTCTTTTAAAGTAGCCTATTATTTCAGTAATAAGTAGGCTACTATTTTTTTTTTTTTTTAAGTATGGTAAAAGTGTGAGTGTTTTACACAAGGGTCACCCTTTTGGCATAACGTGGTGTAACGAGCCAACACCGGGCCCTTATGCAGGATTATCCCCCACTACAGCACGTGATGACGCAATGTCCACGAGTAGGCTACCATGAATAGGACAGGATAGGATCATAGAGACACAGCATATAAGAGAGGAGATGACTGACAAAATCAGGATACACAACAACAACAAAAAACACTGATGAATGCGCACCAGAACACATGAAAAAACACTGCTGACGGCGCACCATAACACATGAAAAAGCTGCTACTGCCAACGGTCACTTCAGGTGCTTCACTCTCTTGCTCCTGCTCAATGTCGATCTCCCCCTCCTGTGCTATCTTTTCAAAGAAGCTTCTTATTTTTGATAATTTACTCATTAATTTCTTCAATTCCTCTTTTCGTTTTCACTTTTGAAAGCCACTTTTGTCTTTGTAATTTGACGACGACTCCATATCGATATTGGAGGTCAAGTTCAGCGTTTTTACTGTTTTGCATGCAATTTGCATATCCGGGATTCGAATTGGGACCCGGGGATTCCCCAGTCCCAATCAAGGGGGTAATCCATCATCTGGAAACTGAAGCTTCTTGGGGGCCGCCATTGTAGCAGACTATCACCTGCTGATTCCATTGACTCCCGTTCATTTTGGCGTCACTTTGACAGCGAATAACTTAACATCTGACTCCATTTGTCCATTGTTTATTTCTAAAGAAACACGACAATGTATAAAAGCCTCCATTACTTTGTATCTTACGTTTTAGCCCCGTAGAAGCCGTTTTTGTAAAAATAGGCTAACGATTGCGACATAACCACATGGCTATCTGTCCCAGAAACGACCGTACAGACAGGAGGAGAAGCTCGCAGGCAATCGGGGGGACGTGGAGGCATAAAGTCAAGGGAGAGGCCCATAGAGAGTTGTAAAGTCGATCCTGCTGCTAGCTCATGAACAGCTAATACTCACGCTCTCCGGCTCTGCAAGATTCGGAAGGGAATGATTCAGATTCCTCTTGGCGCAGCTACTAGAAGACGTACAACTGTCAGACAGGTTGCTCACGTCACATCTACATCGTCAAGCTCAGTGTGAGCCTGCGCAGTCGCTCAGACATCAGCAAGTGAGTGCTTCTAATTGACTTCACTTTTCTCCATTGAAGTCTATGGGGTCGCTGTGTCCATTTCTTTTACTGTCTATGGTCCCAATTCTTAACAAATTACACCAAAATCCATCATTGTTTGTTTCAAACATGTATTTAATGATCAGTAAAATATGTTGTTGTCATTATTTATTCAAATAAATTTGTGATAAAGTAGAATGCGATCAGACTAAAAGTAGTAAAATGCGATAGGGGGTCCCGGCTGTCAATCAATATCTTCCAGTCACGCAGGCCCCTGATTGGTCCGGGCCCGTAAGCAACCGCGTAGCTATCCTGCTTAGTTACGCCTGTGCAGTGGACTAAACTGTAACTATGTTGAATATGACTAGATCGGCATCATCTTCTGAACAGTAGCCTAGGCTACATTCATTTTTTTCATCAAGCGCCCACTATTTGTTGTGGCAGCAGGTGCCAAATATGCTGTTTTATTCTGTAAGTCACTAACTGGCGTGTTTGCTGGTGAATGTGACTGAGCAGATGATGAGAACAAATGCAGATTAGCCCCCGCTAGCTAACATGTGCAGCGGCCAAAACAATTTGTCATCGGTTGTGAACGAGGTCTGAGGATGACTGTAAGCAGGGCGATTCACATGAAGGTGAAATGCACGTGTCATATTTGCTCATATTTCAATAAGGTCTTGAAGGGAACAATTTAACATAGGCCTAGGCCTAAATATAATGTTACAGTTAAACAGTGTAGAGTGTCTTTTTTTCTGACATATGATAACCACATAAAGAGCCATTGAAATCTATGGAATAGGCTTGTGTAAACTATACGTATAGCATATGCTTTTCATTATTTGTTGGTTTGCCAAAGCACTCCAACACACTTCATGAAACCTTATTTCTGTAGCTTTATTTGATCATAGTTCACCTGATAATGTTTTTTTTAAAGTGAACTAGTGACCTCATGCGGTAGCTATGTCAAAATAAAATAAATAGGCCAGCACGTTTTATCCACTAGATGTCACTGTCTAACTGGGTCTAACATTATTTCTCAGTGGCTTACAAATAATGAAATCATATTTAGCAGTAAACAATCAATTCGTCCAAAGTGGATCAAAAAAGTATAAATCTTTAGGCTTCTAAAAAGTCCATACTGAACATAGTTTTACAATCACTCAAATTTGTAGTTTTCGGGTCAGGTCACATGATGCTCAGAGATACAAGACATCAAAACATCACAATAAAGGTCAAACAGCACTGCAAAGATGCACTTAAACTTGCATTTGACTCTTCTAAAAAGAAAATGGTCACTAAAAAGAATTAAAACAAATGTCTAAATAAAATTTTCTCATTGTTTTTGATTGTTTGTTTTTGTTGTGGTTTTACATTTTGTAAGTCATTCAGAGCTAAATAGCCTACCAGTATAACACCATGCAGGCAGTGAGAGTTGTTCATTACCATGAATCAGAAAAACATTAGTAAATTTGATTTGTAAATCGTATATTTGGCATTAATTCAGCTCATCTTTTGGAGGAATAAATGCTCTGTGAAACAGCTTAGCCATCCTGACCCACTACACAAGCATCCTTTATATTTGTAGTTAGACTGATAATAACAGCTGGTTAACCGCACAGAACACTTAACTTCGTACCTATAAAACTTAAATGCTTTTTTTTTAATGTGAATAATTGCACGGTTTAAGGTGAACTACTGACCTCATGCATTACAATGAACACTTCAAATCCATTAGGTGTCACTGTCCAACTGATGCCATACATAGTAGACTGCAGTCATTAACAATCGGCCATTGTTTCTCATCTCATTTATTTACATTTCTAAATGCAGTCCAAAGCTGCCCTGAAATAATACCTGACTTATCCAGGATGAATGACAGTTTTGATGTTCATTAATTCATTAAATATCAAATGTATAGTCTGGATTTTTTATTTATTTAGCCTAAATGTATTTGCCAAAATATCAGTTATCTGCTGTCATTAGATTATTCTATATTGGGAGTAATGATTCATTTCATTAACAGAAACCCCCATACTACATAAGCGTTTCCCACATTTGAATGTCCATCCACTTGGGAAACCTCTGGAGGCAGCAGTGAGAGCATTTCCAGAGAACCCACAAGGTTTCTGAGAAACTGTAATGGCTGTGGCCAATACTGATGAAACAGAAAAGGGGGGAATAGGAAAATCATTTTTGACAGTTTCATTTCTTAGTAAAAAAATAAAATAAATATATATATATATATATATATTATCGATGCATTATACAGGCAACAACTTAGACAATGTGGTTCCTATCTTTGGTATATTAACTTTTTTATTTCATTCTGTCCTTCAGAAGCTACATGCAGGTTAAAATATTAACTGTGCAGGACCTTAAATTATTTTCTGAAGAACAGAGGGCAGTTTAACTGCTCAGGAAAGACAAGGGACTCATGAACAACAGTCTATCACAAAACATAAAAAAACGTTGTTGGTAGCAACACACACTATTAAGACTATACACTAAAGCATATGCAAACTTTAGGGAAAAAGGCTAATTTTTATATTAAGCTTCTATTTTGTTTTGTGACAATAGCCTATATAGATAGAAGTACTGGCCTAGTTGAAACAGCTGTGAGAAGATACCACGTGGCTTGTAACACATGGTGGGGAAAGTTGTTAGCGGTTACATGCTTGCATAACAGATTCAATACACATCTTTGTTGCCAATCTCTGAAAATAAAGAGATTTATTTAAATGTTCTGACATAAAGCATTATATTTCATTATGCAGCAGGCCTTGCTTCAATAACAAATTTTCTTGTTTCTATCACTTATTGTAAGTCATGAATACAAATGGGTAAATATTTATAATAAATAAATAAAAAATATATATATATTTTTGGGTGAACTATCCCTTTAAAGTTTGCTATTGTGTTTTTCATTGTTAATGCTGTTAAAAATGTCTAAATCAGATTGCAGCACAAACTCTCAATAGCCTACATTTACAGCACAATAGTAATGCTACTTACAATGCAATAACTCAAAGGCCATTCTTAAGACTCACTTAAATCCAGTGTCCAATCTGTAAAACAAAAATACTGCATTTAAAACAACCAAATTTGGGTGGGAACCCAGTGCTGGTCAAAAAGGGACGAGAACATGTCATCAGACATGAGTCACTTCAGAAGAATAATTAGGATATTATTATTTGTATTCATTATATTTGAAGTCCAGGAAGCTGGCTATCAAGATTTAAATGAAAACATGCAATGTTTTGCAAACTGGAACATAAAGAGTCAAAGCATTAGGTCTTTCTCTGGGAGTGAGCTTCCCACTAGATCACATGATGTCATCAGCAGCAGCCTTATAGAAGGAGCTGCGGGGGCTTCCACACACAGAGAGACACAGACAGCTGAAAGAGTCTGAACTCTTGTGCTGCTTTCAGCTGCATTAAATACGGGATAATGCTGCTTAGGAGATTGAGGAAAGGTAAGACATCCATTTTCCATCCATTTTAATGATAAAAAAGGTGTGTGTTATGACGTTGTCCATAGTAAAATGCATTATCACATAAGTTTTGTTGTCGGAAAAAAACAGCCATGACATTCAGAGCAGCGTCATGACAGGAATGAAAGCGAGGCTGTGAGGCATCTGTGAGCTGTGAGGTGTTTTTAATGGCATCTTCTGTAAAAAAGATGTATAAAGCTCCTAGATTACTTATAATTTTCTAAAGTTCATGTTGTCTGGAGTATTTTGTCCACTGAAATTTCTTGGAAAGATATTTTTAGTGTTTCGTCAGCGGAACAATCCAAAAAACGTCTCCGAGACGCTGAGATGCTGCGAAGCCATCGCTATGGGAACACTTTGGGTGTGACGAATGTCTGAAACCCTTATAGCATTGTAAACTCGCGCTCGATCTGCCCAAAGTCCGGCATCCGACCAGCACGGAAGGTCTTTACATGTTACTGTCTTTTCTCGTGGCAAAGTATTTTTGATTAAATGCAATACATTTTTCATATGTATTCTCTTGTTATTTCATCTGACTCCACAAATGAAAAGGTTTTTTAATTGGTCCAAAATTGGACTCAAACCACCATCCTTTTTGGGCACAACAAAATAATGACTGTAGAAGCCTGACTCCATCTGAGCGGGGGGTATTTCTTCTATATCCCCTTTCTCTAAGAGTGACAAAATTTCCTAAATCAAAGCTTAGACCTCCCAAGGATGCACCATCGGGGGAAGAATCTCTCTGAGAGGAGGCTAGCCTTTCCGGAATTGGATGGTGTAGCCGTGACGAACGTTACATAACACTCACTGCGAGACCTCGAGCAGGCGTTGCCACGTGGCCAATTAATCCGCCAGGGGCCTTAATCGTTCCATTTTTGGAAACTGCCAAACCAATACATCCTCTGATTGAAGAGATCCTCTGGCGTCTGCGAAAACAAGAAGCACATGTGGAGAGACCACATTTAATGATCTTATCGTTATAGACTAAGCTCCCTGCATGAGGCACATGAGCAGGCGCGGAGTTTGCGGGGGGGCAGGGGGAGCATTGCCCCCCCTGTTGGCTGAAACCCGTTGAATTTTTTTTTTGCATTGTTAAAAAAAATATATATTATAAATATTTTAAATAACACAAAACAACTAAATGGTGGTAGGTAATACACATCTGATTTTATATACTGCTTTAGTAAAAAAAAAACTGCAATGGAAACAGGTTTTGCGCATTTACAGTCTGCTGACTTAGAGAAGACGCGGGGATAATAATAAAAATTATCATTATTATAACATTTATTAGGCTATGTAGAAGACGCTTATCAAAAAAAAGGAACAAAGCAATTCGTCACATATCATTCATAATACAGGGCTAAGATGATCACAAATAGGCTAAACAAGATTTTGACGCATATCCAAGTGCGGAATGTGGAGCGCGCACTGGATGGCACGGAGGCGCGGGGCGCGGGCGCGAACACTTGCATTTTCCTATCAACAGTGGAAACAACTTAAAATAGGCTAGCCTACTCTATCATTTCTGGTCATACAGAAAATAATACATTATTCGCAACTACTTTTATTTGTGTACACTCACAATAACAAGAAAACGTTGTGCTTTTGTAAAATAAAATAAAACAATCAGGCGCGCTCCATGGTCTCCGTGAACTGAAGCGCTATAACTGAAACAAAATAGCCTAAGCTAAAGCTTGAAATGTCCACTTTAAAACGAACAAATTCGAATCGAAAGCTAATACCTTCTGATGATGTAATCCGTATGAAAGGTGCATTTCTCTCTAAAGGTGCATCCGCCTTATACAGCGGGGATGGAGATGTTTTAGCCGACACTGATTTTTTATTAATAAACAATTAAAATGCCTTGTTATTTTTTCAGACACATTTATTAATTATTATAGCCTATAACTCACCTATAAATCCCCTTTCTGTAGCCTGTGGTTATCTTCTCATTCAGCACTACGGGAAAAATATAATTTCCAGGTTCTAATTTGGCCTTAGAAAACCAGTTAAATCTACATTTTTTTTCATATTAATTTGTCAATATTTTAAATGTTTAATAAAGGGGCAAAAAGTCATAAACAAAAATCTGAAAATTCGTCCATATTATTTATTTTGCGCAGCATTTGGTGTGTAGCAGTTCAAATTAAAATTTTGGTGTTCGACTTTGCGTTTTAAAAATACAACCGTTTATTTTTCGTTTTGCAATTACGGGTTAAATAAGGAAAAACGAATGGACAAAAAAGTACACTGACCGTTTGGACATAATACGAGACAGAGTTCTTTATTAAATTCATAAAAGAAACAATAATTACAGGAATACTGGATTCTAAACCTCAAAGAAATGCCACAATCAAGACCTCGGAGCAGAAATGAGGGAGAAACAGCCAGGAACTCTTAGGCTATAGGCTATATGTGCCGTTCGCAGTATAAGGGTCTGCCATTAATGCTTGGATAACACCACGTCTCCTTCCATTAATAATAATAATGTCTAGTGCGGTGGCTGTGATATAGCCTAGGCTTTAAACCTACATCCGTTTACCATGATTTTTGGAATGACTTATCGCGAGAGGAAAAAAATACATTTTAGTCGCATAACATCGGTTAATGGAAACGCCGTCATTTCGCAATAGTTTTTTATCGACATTTAGAAAAAGTCGCAAAAGTTTTGTGCAAATCTGTAATGGAAACGCGCCTAATGATTACTACATGAATGAATGAATGCTACAATGATTTTTTTTGCCCCCCCCTGGCTCGAATGTCAAACTCCGCCTATGCACATGAGTGGCGGGAACCTTTAAAACAGGAAGCTGCCCAATCGCCCGATCGGGCTGGGCCGCCACATCAACAGCACATGACATGTGTATGCACATGACCCTATAGCTTTTCCACAAACTCTGAAGGCTGGAACGCACAGAGAATCTGAGTCATTGCTCGTCGAGAGGGCTCTGCCAAAAACCGACCCAGGCGCAATCTGCGGCGGGACAGTTAAGACCGGAGCCAGGAGGCCACGATGAGAGAGGCGAATACACTTGCGCGGTTCGTCCAAACTCTCCAATGGAGGGCCTAGCATCCAAGGACGAGTGAAGGAATCAGGAACTGCTGCTGGGAACCTGAAAATGAGAGGCCTTGGCCGTCAACCTCAGGTCTATCCGTTTGCATTGCCCCGAGCGAACCGTTGGACGAGTCCTAGGACCCTAGTCTCTGCAAGCGGGTTCCATAGTCGATGGCTCACTTCGTTGCACCTCACGGGGGCGCTATAGAGAAGACAAGTGTGAACGAGCTGAAGGCGGTTGCAGTAAAAACCGCCTTCAGTAAAACTTCGGTAAAAACCGAAGACTGCTGTTTCACTGCCCGAAACTTCTCCACCACACCAGTAACAGACTCTCCAAATAGGCAGTCCTTAGACATGGGGGCGTCTAACAGGAAAGTTTTATCCTTTTCTTTGATGTCAGTAAGAGTAAGCCAAAGATGGCGCTATACTGACACCATTCCCGCATGGACCTGCCTATTGCCCGGGCAGTATGCTTGGTAGCTCTCAACGCCGAGTCAGTAGCCTGTCTGAGCTCCTTAAAGAGCAACATGCAGGTTGGACACCCCTATATAGCATAGTGTATGTTGATGATAAAACAACTAGATTTTCTGAACTGGAGTAATATATATTTAGCCATTAACGATATTTTGAGATAAATTGTGATAAAATAACTTCCGCGTCTATAAAGCACTAACCGGAAGTGACAATGGGCGAGGGACTCTGGTCAAGTTCAAGCTCAGGTTACAATGGATGTGAATGAAGAAACCGAAGAGTTCTCCGATGTTGACGAGCATGCCTATGATAGCCCACAGGATGGGGCCGATCCGATCCAGTGTGTCGGTATCGGGACAGATACCAGTGTAATTCATGTAACGGATTTTCCCGATCCAACCTGCGGAGATATCCGATATCCTGCTGAAATGACTCCAAAAGTGATTCCCGCCGGCCAGTCTGCTTGCTGGCTGCAAGCTGTGGAATGGATTTCCTGAACGGAGGCGCGGCTCAATGAGACACAGAAGCTGTGTCTCAATGTGAAGGCTGCATCCTCCGAAGGCCGCGGACTTCGAAGGATGCAGCCTATTCTTCCTTCGAAGGACGCACCTTGTAGCATTCATAGGATTTCCTAATTGCGCATCCAGGTGTTCCCAATTACCGCTCCATGGCGCCAAGCAACAGTGCGAAATAGAGCTGCCGTCCTGATCATTAATTTGTTATAATTGAGTAAACAGCTATGGAGCCAGAATTGGCTATTGTCATTTTTATGTTTTATATTTTACTGAGGATGTTAAATATATAAATTTTCTAAACGACATTTAGGCCACTTGTCTTTAAAGTCAATTTTTTAGGAGGAAAAAGCTCAGTATAATAGAATAAGCAAAAAAAGACTTCACATATAAAAAAGAAATATAACACAAACACAAGGTTAGGTTATATAAAAATAAAACATTCATAAATTATTTTATGATTAACATATTACTGTCTTCAGTGAACTCAACGCAAATGATAATATTATTATTACTAGCCTACATTTAGGCTACATATTTAGAAGGCGGTTTTATCCAAAAAAGGAACAAAGAAATTCGTCAAATGTCAGTCATAATACAGGGCTAAGATTATCACAAATAAACACAAGATTTTGACGTAAATGTGTGTGGGAGTGTGAGCGCGCACTGCATGGCACGGAGGCGCGGCCGCGAACACTTGCATTTTCCCATCAACAGTGGAAACAACTTAAAAAATACTCATGGTCATACAGAAAAGAATAATACATCATTCGCAACTACTTTTATTGGTCCAAACTCACATAATAAAATAAAACAATCAGTTGCGCTTTCATGATCTCCGTGAACTGGAGCGCGTCACATAAATGAACTGAAACAAAATATACCTAGCCTAAAGCTTGAAATGTTCACTTTTAAACGAACAATTAAAATGCCTCGTTATTTATTTAGACACATTTATTATCATTAGCCTATAAATCATGGTTCCAGAGACATGGCTCTTCTTATTCAGCATTGCGGGAAAAATATAATTTCCAAGTTCTAATCTGGCCTTAGAAAACCAGTAAAATCGACATTTGTCCCATAGTAATTTGTGAATATTTTAAATGTTTAATAAAGGGGCAAAAAGCCCCTTTTTTTTCTTCTTTTTTTTTTTGTTGCAGCATTTGTGTAGCCTACTACAGTTCAAATTTTGGTGTTCAACTTTGGCTTTTAAAAATACAACAACCTTTCATTTTTAGTTTTTCAATTACGGGTTAAAAAAAAGAAAAACAAATGGACGCAAAAGTAGGCTACCTTATATTATTAAATATTTAAAATAATGTATTTGTAGAAAGGTTTGATAGTCAATCAAAATACTAGTAAAATCAAAGACTTTAATCTAAAAAACTATCACCAAACTATCTTTAGTTTAATAGTCTGTGTAAATTTGCATCCATTCGTTTTTAATTTTTTAACCCGTAATTGAAAAACGAAAAATGAACGGTTTTAAAAGGCATAGTTGAACACCAACATTTGAATTTGAACTGTAGGCTACACACCAAATGCTGCACCAAAAATGCTGTCGTCACTGGCGCGCAATGAATTATGGGGTAGGATCAGGTTAGGATAGGCCGCTAAGTGTCCATTTATGTATCCTTCCTTTCACGGGGAATCGAAGGGTGCATTTAGCGTCGCTTTTGGATCAGGGTAGCCTTCGTCACGCCGCGATGACGCAACCGACCTTCGAATATGGCCTTCAAAGGATGCGGAATTGAATTGGGATAGCCTTCATCGCGCCGCGGTGACACAATCGGCCTTCAAATGCGGCCTTCGAGGATGCAGCCTTTGAATTGGGACAGCCTTCGTCGCGCCGCGGTGACGCAATCGGCCTTCAAATGCGGCCTTCGAGGATGCAGCCTTTGAATTGGGACAGCCTTCGTCGCGCCGCTGTGACGCAATCGGCCTTCAAATGCGGCCAATCGGCCTTCAAATGCGGCCTTCGGAGGACGCAGCCTTCACATTGGGACACAGAAAGAGACCCCCCCTCAGGAAATCCATTCAGCAGTTTGCAGCCAGCAAGCAGGATAGCATTGAGCTGTGTGTAAATACTTCACACTGGAAACACCGCAGAGCAAGACAGCAAAATGCAATGTTTGCAAATCCGTATTAATTAAACCATCTGTCTGTGATGCAAAACATCTCCAGGTCTATAATTCTCTGAAGTGAAATGTGCGTTACAAACGACCGAGTGTGTGGTGACAGACGCGGCAGTGAAGTCTGCTCTCTTCACCTGCACAAAACGCACCCAAGAACGAAAAGCCTTGTTTTTCCTTGAAGGAAAATGATGGACACGATGTCCTGACAGGCTGGAATTCGTGCAACCAGCACAAACACAACAATTTACCATTATGGCATCTCTAAAACTCGATCTAAAACTTTCTCTGTCTCTCACTACCGCTCTGACTACAGCTGACCGCGAGCTCTTGTTTGCCTCGGCCTACGTCATATGACGCGTTGCTAGCGGGAAAGGCGTATTCCAGAGCCTTGCACATTTTCATCAAAATCTCTACATCAAATGAGATTTCATTAGTAATTTCTACATATGTGTTTTTAAAAGACCTCTTCAGACAATATCAAGTATTAATTCAGTTATAAATTCAACCTGCACGTTGCTCTTTAACAGCCTCTGGAGTCAGGACCTCTCCCTCGTCCAGCTCCTAAAGCAAGTCTGCTTGATAAGCTTGGAGCACCGCCAAAGAATGAAGAGTGGCTGTCGCCAGTCCAGCGGCCATTAAAGATTTACAGACCAAAGCGGAAGTAATCTACATGTCTTGGATGCCAGCAGGGGCCGTGACTTCCAAGTGCGAGATTGGCAGCTAGAGTCTCTTCCACGACCGGCATCACCGAGTAACCGTGCTCCGCCATATTGGAAACCGTGGCAAAGTCAGTGGCAGTGGGATTAATAATGAGCGCCGAAAAGGGCTGTTTCCAAGACATCGAAACCTCATGGTGGAGGTCTTGGAAGATGGGGGAGAGGCTTACGTGGCTGGGCTGGGAAGCTCCTGGTCAAAAATTGGTCACTGATTTTGAGTTGGCTCGCAATCCCATTCTAGCCCCAGCTTGTCTACAGCATGTGTAAGCACATCCAATAACTCGTTATAAGATGGGGAAGTGCATTTCTCTTGTCCGCTTGGAGAGAGAGAACGGCACAAATCACAGATCTCCTCAGAATCAGAGGCCGCTGTAGACAGCACATCATCATCATCAAACCCTCCACAACCGAAATAAATCGAATTACGAGCTTCCGGGGTAAGCCGCAAATCATTATTGACAAAAACAAAGGGGTCCGTGCAGCGATCGTCTAACGCTTGCAAGTGGCCCGGGGAGAGAGAGAAAAGGAGAATATCCCTTCTGCTCACCCTCAATGTACTCCAGCTCGTAATCATAACCCCAAGCGTCCGTCTGGTGCTGCGTCCCGGAAACCGCAGAAACGGAATGGCGGAGGTTAGACGAGTGTCCTTCTTTCCTCAGAACGGAGGCGAGCCTCGAGAGCAAAACTTTCAAACACAGGCTATTGCAGTGTCGACAGTCAGCCTGAGCATGCTGAAGGCCCAAACGCACCTGTCATGAGTGTCTCCTCTTGCAATGAACCTGTCGCATGGATCGATGCATCTCCTATAGCTCATCGTGTCCACTTGAGAGGAGTGAAAACTGCTCTGAAAAGTAGCAATAAACATGAGAAAAACGCTTCCCTGCAGGCAACAGAAAATGTGCTTCCTGAAGGAAATGAAATCTGATGAAATCGCGTGTAGCATGCTCATATGAAGCATGCATGATGTATTCTCGAACCGGTGCTAAGTTCTACTGGCCAATGCAATGTTAACTCTAACGGTTAAATAACAGCACAACCCACTGAAGTGATCTGTCTATCCCTCACAGCCTCACTTTCATTCCCATTAAATATCAAAGATGGCGCTGCCGTGAATAAGGTTGGTGTGCTATTATTAGTAGTGTATGTGTTTTTCCCCAAACTAAACTAGCCCCGCAGTCAATTATAAAGATTGCCTAGGTCATTGTCAATCACAGGAAATTGCCTATAACACAAAAATAAATACAAACCCCTAACCCCACGCTAAACAATCGCAAACCTTAACCTTGTGCTGCGTCCACGCTATGTCGTAATTACCGTAAATAAAGCTCTGTATGCTTTCGAATCGCTGTCGTGGTACTTTAAAGTCATACACCGATTGGTCTGCACAGTGCTGCTTCAAGTCGAACACACCTTAAATCTGCAGTGGTCAGGTGGTACAGAAGCCACATGGTACAAGTCGTAGCTCTCAGAAAATTACGAATTTACACGTTGTAATTACAAGTTCTACAAGCTCTTGAAGGCTTTTTCATGTTGCAGAATCATTACGGTAATTACAACATTTTTAGTATAGCATGGTAGGTAGCACATCCTGACAGATAACCACCATTGGGACACTTACGCCCCAATATTCAGACAAAGGGATTCATTTCTTTGAAGAATTTACAAGATTCATGTTTTAATTTGTACATTTACTGTTGTGTACTCTCTGCTTTCAGAAGAAGACCTTGAAATTTGTGAAGTAATCAGAAGCGATGGTGGCATAGCTGATGAAGATTCCAAAGCACAATGTCAGAAAAAAAAGCACAAACTCAAAATACCAAAAAATATTAAACCGAAAATCTTTACGAAACTCCAGAAGAATTTCAAATCCGAAGATGCTCTAAGCCCCGAAACACTATTAGGTAAAATAGCAGATTGTGTTGTTCATGTTTTGGTTGGTTTGTTTTGTTTTTATGTGTCATCTTGTTGTCTACATTGATACATGTTCCATTTATGAAATTATAAGTTAGTGAAGCTCAGTTGGGATTATCATTTACAGACCATTAGCACTATATAAATACCCTATTCTGATTGGCACTATTGTGTTGTTGTGGTTCTCATTAACTTGTCAGTCTGCCTATATAAGCCTGGCTCATTCTGTCAGCATTGTGAAGTGTTGTATGCGTCTCCACTGCATTTCTGAGTGCTCTGTCTTTGTGTTTATGGTTTTGACTTTCTGTCTGTTTTTTTTTTTTTTTTTTTTTTTTTTTTTGCTTGTCCCTGTTTGCCTGTGCCCTGTTATTGTTTGGACTGTTTAGTGGATTACATATTTGTATTTTATTGGATTAATAAAATTCTGCATTTGGACCCTTAACCTTGTGTCTTAGGCTGCGTTTACACTTGGCATTAACATGCGACCTGTATCTGGATGTTGTCCATATACACGTTGAAAAGACAAGTGTAAACGCACTTCTGATCGGAATGTTATCCGATCAGCGTGTCCAGGTTCGGAGGTAGTTGAGGACACAGCTGGACGTCATACAAAACCCCGTCCAGTCATTATTCCCCCTCCTCTCTCCAGGAATTGCTGCACGTAGCTGTGTGGTTTTGCGATACAGTCGAGTGCGAAGCACATCGCAAATATACTAAAATTGCTTGCCTTCGTACCCTAAAATTGCAAAACCATTAATTTTCTGTAAAGAACTCACATTTTTCCCACCACAGCTAGCAACGTTCTCGTATACGTTTCTCTGTACCGTTTCCATTACGGCATCTATCCACATTATTAATACTTCATTTCCTCTTCATTTCCTCCTCATTTTGCAAGATTTGTAAAATGTACCCCGACTGAAAACTGTTTTTAAAAGAAAACCCACCACTTCAGGTCGACTTTGCACCGGAGCCATCCTTTTTTTTCCTTTCTTTTTTTTTTGCAGGAATGCGAGATCAGATCTGTTATCCAGATAGAGAAGCCAGTTGATGTGGACAGGTGTAAACACACCGTGTCCTGATTGGCTTATGATCCGATTTGCTTGATCGGATCACGGTGATCCGATAGAGCAGTGCATGACAGAATGAACCAGGCTTAGGCCCCGTTTACACGAGAACGATTCCGGGTGAAAACGTAAAAATATTTTATCGGATGTGCCTTTCGTTTACACGGCAACGGCGTTTTGGGGGCTTAAAAACGCAAAAAAGTGAAACCACCCTCCAGAGTGGAAATCTTAAAAACGCTCCACCGTCGCGTTCCCGTCTAAACGGTAAAAACGCAAATCTGCTCACGGTGGCTCTCGTCGCGTACGCGCTTACGTCACAGGCATGCGCCAGTACAGGAAAATATCAACCAACATGTCGGATTATTTCCATACGTCGGACCTTCAAGTTGCCCTAGCAGCTCTGAAAAACATACAAGAGTCTTTTCAGCATTTGTACAAAATATTCTGAGATATTGGTGTTGTTGTTTGGCAGTGCTTCACATTGCCACCTAGCCGCCTGGAGTGCATACTACATCGAATTTCACACACTTTTGCATCACCATTTGCACGCGGATTTCCCAACCATAACGCTCGTCTAAACGCAGAATAAAAAGTGATAACGCAACGCCACTTTTGCGTTTTCTCTTCAGATCGTTTCCATGTAAACATAGCCTTAGATAGGCAGAGACTGACAATGTAATGAGAACCAGCTGAGAACAATCAAGCATGATGAGAACGGGCAGTGAGTTCTGGGATTTGTAGTTTGTGAGGGAATGACAATAGTCTAGAGTGGAGTGCCCTCTATCAAGGGCACCCCAGCTGGTGATCGTGACAATTGTAGCCTACTGGGCACACAGAAGTCATAGGAGCAAACAGGTTCATACTTTTGAAAAGCTCTACTACAGCTATACTTCAAAGTTGGATTTGAACAGAAATACCTAGCAGTACACCAGCATATTGCTCATTAGCTTTACATGAGCATCATAAAATGCTGCTAATATTGCACTGTCGTGGTACCTCTTTTGTGTTGTTCAGCAGCTATGTAGCAGTGTTGTGTACTCGAGACTCGGACTCGGTCCATATTTTAATGGTCTCAGTCTTGTCATGGACTCGTGTGCATTTTGACTCGGAATTGACTCGTACTCGAACATATTAGGACTCGGACTTATTCCCGAGTCCACTCGAGACCCATTCAAAATATGTCATGATTATTACTGTATGTTAATATTTCTTTAAAATGTTGTTTGATTGAAACGTCCAATGATTGCTGACTTTCTTGTGCGCAACTGCGCATGACTTGAGACTAATGGTGTGTTCACACCGAACGCGAATTTAATTATTTGCGCGAGTAGACTAATACAAAGTCAATGCAAAGACGCGAATAGGCGGATCATTCGCGCCGGGCGTTGCGAATGATGCGAATTGGGCTACGCGTTTGGCGCAAATGTCTTCCGCTCAAGTTGAAAAATTTGAACTCGACCGAATGTTCAAGCGTCTAACTAAACGCGATAGAAGCGTATTTGACACTCTATTCGCGTTCGGTTTTAACACACCGTAACGTTCGCGGCGCGCAAATGCAGCAGACCCAGGTCAGATGTGATGTGGCCTCTAGCTCAACTATGTATTGAAAATGTCTGCCTTATCATCCATTATTCAGTACTCAGCCACACAGAATTCGTGTGCAGTAATGTTATGCGTATGCAGCACTAAGTGCTTGTAATAATTGTAAGTCATAATTTTAATAAGTATGAGTAATTTTTTGAGTATGGTGCCAATTTTATTGTTACCACCAAATATTTTACATATTCATGAAGATATCTTTAGGTTTCAGACCCAACCTTAGGTTATCCAACCTCTCTGGTCTCAGTCTCGACTCGGACTCGACTCTCTTTGGTCTCGGTCTCGACTCGGACTCGACTCTCTTTGGTCTCGGTCTCGACTCGGACTCGACTCTCTTTGGTCTCGGTCTCGACTCGGACTCAACTCTCTTTGGTCTCGACTCGGACTCGACTCTCTATGGTCTCGGTCTCGACTCGGACTCGACTCTCTTTGGTCTCGGTCTCGACTCGGACTCGACTCTCTTTGGTCTCGGTCTCGACTCGGACTCGACTCTCTTTGGTCTCGGTCTCGACTCGGACTCAACTCTCTTTGGTCTCGACTCGGACTCGACTCTCTTTGGTCTCGGTCTCGACTCGGACTCGACTCTCTTTGGTCTCGGTCTCGACTCGGACTCGACTCTCTTTGGTCTCGGTCTCGACTCGGACTCAACTCTCTTTAGTCTCGACTCGGACTCGACTCTCTATGGTCTCGGTCTCGACTCGGACTCGAGTGAGCTGGTCTCGACTGCAACACTGCTATGTAGCGCTAACAGGAGGGTTGGGGTGCCAGTGATATGCATTAGCGGAGCCACTTCGTCAAGCTGATGTGAAGTCTATTAAAGAGTCCATAACTTAGAGTTTTAATTAGAGCTTGTAATTTAGAGAAAATTAAGCAAGTTTCTTTTCTGTTAATTTCTGATTTATACTTTAGTTGTGGACCTTGATGCATTTGAAGGCATAGTAGATTCCCCTGGTGATACCGAAGAGGAAAGACAGAAACATGCGATCAAAATGAAAATGAAAATTCCTGACTTCATGAAACGGCAGAAGAATTCAAAATCCCACGAAACTCCATCAGGTAACAGACAATCTTTTCATGAATTCAAAATTACAGGGACTATTTTACAGGGGGTTTAAAACTGGGTTATAGAAACCCAACAATATAAAAAAAAAAGTCTAAATGCCCATTTATACATTTATTTTCATTTCTCATAAAATAGAGTTTAAACAGATTTTTATGAAAATATACAGCTGCTAAATATATTTTAGTAGGGGTCATACTAAAGAGTCCTTGGCATCAAAGAGAAAACCCCAGCTATACCTCTTACAAGGGAATTAGAAGGAACCGAGGGTTAATTTTCAGGAAAGAAAAATTAAGTGAATATAACAGAATTGTCTTCTCACATACTGCAGTGGACCTGGATTTTAATGGAAACCTTGAACAGAACCGTCTGGCTAAAGCACAGCAGCAGCTTGTGAAAGCCGAGGAACGTCTCTTCGGTTCAGATGAAGTGGCCAGGACAGAAGAAGTGGAGAACAAGCTGCAGACAGACTATGAGATCTTTATTTTGCGACTGAGGATGGCCATCCATGATTCTTTCAATGAGGACAATCAGGAGACACTCAAGAGTGCTTTGACTTCAATACTTCAAGAGGAGGAACAAGACAGACGCTGGGCGGAAGTGGCTGTGGATCAGCGTCCAATATGGAGGCCCACAAAGTGCAGACAGATGCATGACATTCTACTCCAGATGGTCGTGAAGGAACGAATGAAGACTGCAGATGAACAGGAGAATAAAGTAGACAAGCTGTCTACCTCCTTGAAGAGAGAAGTGTGTCAAATGGGCAAACAAGTAAAAAAAGACCTGCTTAGAGTGGTCCGAAATCTGAGAGAATGTTATCCACCAGACTTTGACATCTGCAGAACGTATGCTCTACTCTACCATCAAACCTTCTCCACCAGACTCCAAGAGCTCGCCAGATCCAGTATTGATTTTGAGGACTGCCTCTATATATTGAGTTGGATTTTCCATTACTACCCAAAGTAAGTGCCAATTAAATTTTTCAAAATCATGACCTATTACTTCCTAAATTATATTATACATGATTCAACATTTTCAAACACAGTTTCAGAAATGTATATATTCTTTAATATGTTTTTTCTTAGAGATGTATTGAAGCACAAAGAACTAGAGGAGCACATCAACAATTCATCGATTGGACCTTTGTTACCTGAAGAAGATCTTAAGAGATTAGAGGAACAGTACTTCTCATACAAAGAGGTCATTCAGTACATGACTAATGTTATTAGAAAATGGCTAAATCAATAGTAAACGTATTTCAGAATAACACAATTGCATAATCTAACAGATTCTTATACAACCACATTTCCAGAAAAGTGGGGACATATTGTAAAATAACTTCAAATCAAGAATCTGTGATTTGTTAATTCTCCTTAACCTTTTTTGAACTGACAAAAGTACAAATAAAAGATGTTTCAATGGTTTCACTGACCAATTCAATTGTATTTTTAAAATATAAACAAATTTAGATTTTTGATGGCTGCTGCAACACACTGCAACAAAGTTGTCACATCAACTTTTACCACTGTGTCAGAACACCTTTACCACTGCCTTTGGTAAATGTCTCTTTTATACCCAATCACGATGCCGCACCTATTACCAATTCACCTGCTAATTGTGGACTGTTTCAAAACAGTTTAACTTGGATATTCTGTAATCTTTTTACTTTTATTTTTCCAACTTTTTTGGAGTGTGTTGCAGCCATCAAAATCAAAATGTATTTATATTTACAAAATACAATTAATTTGGCCTATGAAAACATTGGACATTTTTTATTTGTACTGTTGTCAATTGAATAAAGCTTCAAGATAATTAACACATCACAGATTATTGGTATTATTGCATTTGACAAAATTCCAACTTTTCTTGAATTGGGGTTGTACCATGTTTGCCCTCGGTGCGTCTATGGTGCGATGCACCACACCATAATGACTTGAGGCTGCCTACCAAATCCATTCATCGCGTTGTCAGGAGTAGCACAAATGCATGTGGTACATCAGAAAGAAAAAGGCATCCATTTACTGTAGGCGATTCACCACTATATACAACGTGGAGCATCCAATTTAGGCAACTTAAATGATTTTAATGTGTTCTATTTGCTTTTGACCGAACGAACGGCTCACAGCTGGTGTAGATATGGTATTAGTTAATGTTCTTATTACTCTCATCAGTTACTGCTTTAGTTTATAGCCTAATTCCTGTTGCTTATCTTCTCTCATTAGAACGAGATCAGAAAGTGGTTATTCACCGCTCTTGAGAAAGAAGTGAAAAAATTTAGTGATGACTTCGATCCAGAGATCATGGATGGATACTACTTCAGCAACCTTGCTGTAGATGTTTTACCAGTAAGTCATAGGCTCTACTCACTCTCTAACCATCATCTTTATTTAGTTATGCATGTTGGGATCATCAAACAGAGTCAGACCTATTTCCTAAAAAAAAAAAAAAATTTTTTTGTTTTTGGCTTTATGTGGTTAGCCATTGAAGTGTAACCATTTTTGTTTCATAGCTTGTTGATGCGACTGTGAGAGAGGTCAACACACTTTTGGGCTGTGAAAGTAAAGCCTGGAGTCTTCTATGCCAGTTTGACAGCTTTCTTTTGAGGTATATAATTAGTCACTATATCTCTGTCACATTTTCATGCATTAAAATAAGACTGACATGCTCTCTCTCTTTTTTCAATGGCAGCTATAAGGCAAGTCTAGAGGAACTTATCAAAAGAAAACAAGAAAACATTCCTAAAACTCTCAGTGCTAGTCTCAATAATATTTACCTGTTTAGGTGAGTTTAATTGGTCATTTTTCTACCTTACCGCAGCAATTGTTAAATATGTTATTTTTAAAGGTGCAGTAAGCGATTTCTGAGAAACGCTGTTGAAAATTTAAACAAACTCCTAAATATTTTCCAGATGTCTGTTCTGTATATGTGCTGAAAAATCAAATAGTGTTTGTAGGTATTGCTGGCTGTGTAAATATGAGAAAAATAAAGGGGGTTCATTGAACTGATTCACGGAGCACCAAAACACTCTTGTAGTCAATCAACAGTAGGGTGTGTACAGTCATGATGGGGGAGGAGAGAAAGTGAGCAAGCGGGACATTTGTAGAAAGACTATAGGAAGAGAGATGGCTGAGATATTACCAAAGAGGAAAAGGTCAAAATAATATAATTGCAAGAAGAAGGGTTACGGTTAGGCAAGAGCTAGGACCTGCTTTAATATTGGAAAAGCTTTTCAGAGCTGGAGAGACGTTAGAGAGCGGGAATGCAAAAAAAAAAAAGGATGCTGAGGTTGCTTTGTTTCGCTTGATACTTGAGCAACAATGTTTATTTGCTGTTTCACAGAAGATATTCTGTTGTTGTATAATCACAGTTGATTCGTCCATACTTGCGCGAGCTGTCTGATTTGGCAGCTGTTAGTGGTTGCCTGTGCTGCATTTTGTGTTTGTTATATTGGGGGTGGAGCAATGAGGGGGTGGGGGGTGTTTGTGACTTAAACACGAAATCCCAGACAGAAAAATATTATGTTGGTTGCTTCTCATTTCTTATTTGTGCCTCCTTGTCTCCTTCCCTCACTTTCTTTCCTCGTGTCTTAGCTCCACCCCTTTAGGATTCGAGGGAAGGATACACCCGTGTATCCTCGCTCATGACTCGGAAGCTTCCTCGCTCCTTCCTCGCCTCATCGTGATGCAATTAGAGAATTGAAAAGTCCTTGAAAGATGTTCAATCGGTTTCCGGGTCACGGGCTGGTGGACGTATAGGAGCGAGGAAACGAGGAAGCATCAATTTGAGTAGCACCGAGTAGCACCCTGTGTTTCACAGAAATTGCTTACTGCTCCTTTAATTGACAATAGTATAATGTCTTATATTACTAATTTTTTAATTTTCATATAATTTAAATTACATTTTTATATTATATGTAAACTATAGCTCTCTTTTAACCGGAAACATGCAGTCTACTATCAGTATTTAGATTTAATTTAAATGTAATTAAATGTAATTGAATTTAATTCAATTATAGCAACCATTATTTCTCTATATCCTCAGGGATTATGTACAAAGACCAGAGCATCTTTTCTCAGAAGACTCTAGAAAGGCTTGTCTGTCCATATTAGCAGACCTCAAAAACATCTGTCACAAATACTTCCTTAATCGAATTCACTCAGAACTGAAGGTTAGTAGGCTAAAGAAGAAAAAAATCATGAGAGTACTTATTTACATGGAGATACCCTGACCATTTTTTATTTTTATATGTCCTTACTGGGAAAATAGCATTGAGCTTTTTGTTTCCAAGTTTGTGATGCTTCTTAATCTTTACTATTAATATCTTAAATTAAAGGGTTAGTTCACCCAAAAATGATAATTCTGTCCGTAATAACTCACCCTCATGTTGTTCCAACCCCGTAAAACTTTCGTTTATCTTCGGAACACAAATTAAGATATTTTTGATTAAATCTGAGAGCTGGATCACTCCTCCATAGGCTTCTTAAGGGATCGAAACTGGCCGGCCCAAAAGCTATGAAAGACATCGTTAAAATAGTCCGAGTGACTACAGTGGCTCAACCTTAAGTTTATCAAGCGACGAGAATACTTTTTGTGCGCAAAAAACAAACAAAAATAACGACTTTATTCATTTCCTTGTGGACCTCGAGATTTCACGTAGTGAAACTACTGCAAAGCTTCTAGGTTGTACGTCACACGCATCACACACATGACCAGCATCGGCCAATAGTGAGCCTTCGTGTAACGTGCAACACAGAAGCTTTGCGTAGTTTCACTACATGAAATCTCACGGCCCACAACAGAACCACAGAACCGGAAGACAATACAATTCTGAATAAAGTCCTAGTTTTTGTTATTTTTGGACCAAAATGTTTTTTTGATGCTTCAAAACATTCTAACTAACCCACTGATGTCACATGGACTACTTCGATGATGTCTTTATCTCCTTTCTGGACAAGGACAGTATACCGTACATACATTTTCAATGGAGGGACAGAAAGCTCTCAGACTAAATCTAAAATATCTTAAACTGTGTTCCGAAGATGAACGGAGGTCTTAAGGGCTTGAGACGACATAAGGGTGAGTCATTAATGACATAATTTTCATTTTTGGGTGAACTAACCCTCTAAATCTTAAATTTTGGAAATAACCAGACCTGTTTATCTGTACAGCCGCTGTACCGTAAGCTGTGGACTCAAGCCTGGTTTGCTGGACATAGTGAGGTTGTGGTGGAGCTGATGAAGGCGCTGGAGAATAACATAGATCAATTCAAAGAGCTAAAGCCTGTCTGCCGAGAGGTCAGAATCACTTTTGCATCAAATATTGTTTCTGACAGTCCTATAACATGATGTAAATAGACATATAATCTTAGCCTGGTAATACCAGACTCTGCTACTTCACTTTGCTTCGTACACAGAGTCTGGGATAGCATAATAGAGAAGTGTTTTCTCTCTCGCTAGGGGGCGCTTACTGAAGTTTAAAATCATTGGTTACCCGTAAGCCAATCAGATAAGTTTGTTTATGACGTATGTTATGCGCCGACACAGCCATCATGCATCGAACTCAAATCTATGATCGAACTTCCACTGTAAACACTTGATGATGCGAGCGAAATACCCGAGTGAACATGGCTGTAAACGACTTTTTTGATCTGTGAGTGATGTAATAGAATGACTGCTGCGCTTGACAGGGCACAAACGAGCAGAGAGAGAGAGAGAGAGAGAGAGAGCCCCGGCCGCGCGCGCGCACTCCCACGTCTACAAACAACACGAGCGCTGTCTTGCTCTCTCTCCCTCGCGCATATTCATAAAAATCAATCGACAAGATAGTAAGAGGTCGGAAGACCGCGGTTTCACGTGGAGCATTTGGAGATTTTTAGAGATTATAGACTCTAGGAACAACATCTCAACTATAAAGGCCTGTCTCATATAAGTTAGACGCCTATCTCAAGTACAAGCCGGTGCAGTTCGACGATTTGGGCAAATAAAAGCCCGGGCTATTATTTGAAGTTTTACGGTATTTAAGACCTGGAAAAGAAAAGAGACACTGACCTGTCAAAAGGCTCCCCAGTTTCTCGCTGACGATCGGTAATAGTTGATAAATTAAACTTTTCCCAAAGGGAGTAGGGCCACAACATCACCTCCATTCAAAATGTTTAATACACACTCTTCGTGTTCGGGCTTCAGTTTGCTAATGCCGGGAATATTCTCCACAACAGAGCGAATTGCATCCGCGTCTCCATATCAGCGGTCGTTTTCGATTTCCCTGACCTAATCTTAAACACGGCGCTTACCGACTACGTCACGGCTTTCAGCCCGCCCTCTGTTCGTTGATTGGCCAGGCTGTTTTCAGGCCGGTGGAAAACAGAAAGATAGGCTGCTATCTCAGACTGACTACAGGAGCGAAATGAAATTAGCGGAAGTAGGAAGTCTGACGTAGTCAGGCTAATATAATCTTACATTGTTTGCTAATGTGGTGATTAAGATACAGTTATAGATGTATATTTGAACATTGCGTGTCTCTATGTGTGTGTAGGAACTGCTGGCCGAGCTGCATGTAGAAGTAATGGTTGAGTATGTGAGACGAATGATGAAGAGAAAACTAAAACTGAAGAACAAAGAACAGCAAGATGCAGCTGCTGAGTTCATCTGTCACGACAACAGTCAAATCTGCTCTGTGTTTGCCAAAGTGGTAAGATCACACCCAGACCCACACATGCTGCTTATTATAAACATACACGTATTCATCCAAAGCATACGCAATCAGGATTATCATCCACATTCAAATAGAGCAAACTCAAATTACAAATCAAAATTTAGAATTTTTTTACTTTTGACTCTTACTTGAACACACAATCCAACGCCTTCTTTATTCTGGAACCATTTAGGAAAACGCTGGAATTCCTCACAGTGACACGTGGTTTTCATTTTTTTTTTTTTATCTATTTTTTTCTCTCCTTTACATTTCTGTTCTCTGAATTGTAAATTGATAGTGTAGTGGATGTTAAAAGTAACACACACACACACACACATACACTCACCTAAAGGATTATTAGGAACACCATACTAATACTGTGTTTGACCCCCTTTCGCCTTCAGAACTGGCTTAATTCTACGTGGCATTGATTTAACAAGGTCCTGAAAGCATTCTTTAGAAATGTTGGCCCATATTGATAGGATAGCATCTTGCAGTTGATGGAGATTTGTGGGATGCACATCCAGGGCACGAAGCTCCCGTTCCACCACATCCCAAATATGATCTATTGGGTTGAGATTTGGTGACTGTGGGGGCCATTTTAGTACAGAGAACTCATTGTCATGTTCAAGAAACCAATTTGAAATGATTCGAGCTTTGTGACATGGTGCATTATCCTGCTGGAAGTAGCCATCAGAGGATGGGTACATGGTGGCCATAAAGGGAAGGACATGGTCAGAAACAATGCTCAGGTAGGCCGTGGCATTTAAACGATCCCCAATTGGCACTAAGGGGCCTAAAGTGTGCCAAGAAAGCATCCCCCACACCATTACACCACCACCACCAGCCTGCACAGTGGTAACAAGGCATGATGGATCCATGTTCTTCATTCTGTTCAAATTCTGACTCTACCATCTGAATGTCTCAACAGAAATCGAGACTCATCAGACCAGGCAACATTTTTCCAGTCTTCAACTGTCCAATTTTGGTGAGCTCTTGCAAATTGTAGCCTCATTTTCCTATTTGTAGTGGAGATGAGTGGTACCCGGTGGGGTATTCTGCTGTTGTAGCCCTTCCGCCTCAAGGTTGTGCGTGTTGTGGCTTCACAAATGCTTTGCTGCATACCTCGGTTGTAACGAGTGGTTATTTCAGTCAAAGTTGCTCTTCTATCAGCTTGAATCAGTCGGCCCATTCTCCTCTGACCTCTAGCATCAACAAGGCATTTTCACCCACAGGACTGCCGCATACTGGATGTTTTTCCCTTTTCACACTATTCTTTGTAAACCCTAGAAATGGTTGTGCGTGAAAATCCCAGTAACTGAGCAGATTGTGAAATACTCAGACCGGCCCGTCTGGCACCAAAAACCATGCCACGCTCAAAATTGCTTAAATCACCTTTCTTTCCCATTCTGACATTCAGTTTGGAGTTCAGGAGATTGTCTTGACCAGGACCACACCCCTAAATGCATTGAAGCAACTGCCATGTGATTGGTTGATTAGATAATTGCATTAATGAGAAATTGAACAGGTGTTCCTAATAATCCTTTAGGTGAGTGTATATATATATATATATATATATACAGGTCCTTCTAAAAAAATTAGCATATTGTGATAAAGTTCATTATTTTCTATAATGTAATGATAAAAATTAAACTTTCATATATTTTAGATTCATTGCACACCAACTGAAATATTTCAGGTATTTTATTGTTTTAATACTGATGATTTTGGCATACAGCTCATGAAAACCCAAAATTTCTATCTCAAAAAAATTAGCATATTTCATCCGACCAATAAAAGAAGTGTTTTTAATACAAAAAAAAGTCAACCTTCAAATAATTATGTTCAGTTATGCACTCAATACTTGGTCGGGAATCCCTTTGCAGAAATGACTGCTTCAATGCGGCGTGGCAGGGAGGCAATCAGCCTGTGGCACTGCTGAGGTGTTATGGAGGCCCGCAGGATGCTTCGATAGCGGCCTTAAGCTCATCCAGAGTGTTGGGTCTTGCGTCTCTCAACTTTCTCTTCACAATATCCCACAGATTCTCTATGGGGTTCAGGTCAGGAGAGCTGGCAGGCCAATTGAGCACAGTAATACCATGGTCAGTAAACCATTTACCAGTGGTTTTGGCACTGTGAGCAGGTGCCAGGTCGTGCTGAAAAATGAAATCTTCATCTCCATAAAGCTTTTCAGCAGATGGAAGCATGAAGTGCTCCAAAATCTCCTGATAGCTAGCTGCATTGACCCTGCCCTTGATAAAACACAGTGGACCAACACCAGCAGCTGACATGGCACCCCAGACAATCACTGACTGTGGGTACTTGACACTGGACTTCAGGCATTTTGGCATTTCTCCCTAGTCTTCCTCCAGACTCTGGCACCTTGATTTCCGAATGACATGCAAAACTGAGCAACAGTCCAGTGCTGCTTCTCTGTAGCCCAGGTCAGGCGCTTCTGCCGCTGTTTCTGGTTCAAAAGTGGCTTGACCTGGGGAATGCGGCACCTGTAGCCCATTTCCTGCACACGCCTGTGCACGGTGGCTCTGGATGTTTCTACTCCAGACTCAGTCCACTGCTTCCGCAGGTCCCCCAAGGTCTGGAATCGGTCCTTCTCCACAATCTTCCTCAGGGTCCGGTCACCTCTTCTCGTTGTGCAGCGTTTTTTGCCACACTTTTTCCTTCCCACAGACTTCCCACTGAGGTGCCTTGATACAGCACTCTGGGAACAGCCTATTTGTTCAGAAATTTCTTTCTGTGTCTTACCCTCTTGCTTGAGGGTGTCAATGATGGCCTTCTGGACAGCAGTCAGGTCGGCAGTCTTACCCATGATTGCGGTTTTGAGTAATGAAACAGGCTGGGAGTTTTTAAAAGCCTCAGGAATCTTTTGCAGGTGTTTAGAGTTAATTAGTTGATTCAGATGATTAGGTTAATAGCTCGTTTAGAGACCCTTTTCATGATATGCTAATTTTCTGAGACAGGAATTTTGGGTTTTCATGAGCTGTATGCCAAAATCATCAGTATTAAAACAATAAAAGACCTGAAATATTTCAGTTGGCGTGCATTGAATCTAAAATATATGAAAGTTTCATTTTTATCATTACATTATGGAAAATAATGAACTTTATCACAATATGCTAATTTTTTTAGAATGACCTGTATGTATATATATATATATATATATATATATATATATATAAGCCATTATATGAGTACATTTACATTTCAAAAAGGGCAAACAGAATAAACTACACTGTTAGGTTGGGGGGTGAATATAGCAGAGAAATGTGCAAATAATGTAGAGTTAATTGATTCGTTTTTTTGTAAATATGTAGGCTATGTTTTGTGTCTTTTTTATCACAGTTTCCAAGTGTTTGCATTGGAAACCATAAAATAATAATTAAAGCCCCAGAGGCGTAGGAGGTTAATTTGTTCAAATTATTTAAAATATTTAAAACATTTGTGTGCATGACATACTAACTGAAACATACAGAAGTCTGGCACCATTGTTTTAGACACAATATGACATTGAGGCACACACAACATATGGACCTTTTCAGTGTATTCTCTTTACATTATTCTCTTTGTTTGAAAGAGCATGAATTGTTGGAAAGAAGTGGGAAATTGTTATGTAACAATAGAAATAGTTTTCTAAGTGAAGTACCATTCTCTTCTCTAGGGATCCAAAGAGGAATGGCTCTGTCAAATACTGCCCAAATTATCAGAGATTCTAAGACTGCAGGATCTTGGGAGTTTGCAACTTGAGATAGTTACTCTGGCAAGAGATTATCCTGACATTAGGTGAGTCTGATAGATGTGAGCTGGCAAGATGCAGTTATTTAACCTGAATGGGAAAGAAACCATAGCAAGATATCTTATTTTCACATGTCTCATTCTTTATACAAATAACTATTTACAACATACATATTAGTAATAATGTCATTAGCACAATGAAATATAAACAATCAATCTTCCAGTGTTTGTCTTTTTTATCAGTTATCTTTGTTGTCACTCTCCACTAGTGAGCAGCATGTTCTTGCTGTCCTGAACCTGAAGACCAACCTTTCAAGCTCAGATTTGCGTAGGATCAAAGGGTGTTTGAGTGAAAACAGAGGCGGTCAAGACACTGAGTCCTTCCCTTACTTCTTCTCTAAAGTACTTGTCAAACGAAAAATCATCTGAATCCCATGTGTTACATCCATAGCTAATGTTAATCAACTGTGAGACATAATCAGTATTATGTTATTTAATATTTATTATATACAGCTCAGTGATGTTATTCTGTTAGTTTTTCTCGAAGGATTTACACTCTTCTCTAACACTAAGGTCAAGAATAAAATATTTATTTAGAATAAAATTTGTATTTAATGAGCCGCATTTTACAATACGATGAAACATCACAAGGTGTTCATATGGATGTGTTGATGTCACGGGTCTATGAAGGAGGACTCAAATGCAGAACGAGTGTTAACAGGTTTATTGACAAACAGTAGACAAGATGTGGTGGGAGAGGTGAACAGTCCAGACAAAAGGCAGGGATGAGACACAAAGACAGCCAATGCAGCAAAACTTGCAGAGCAGCAGCTGTAGCTAGCACAAGAAGACTGTAGGCTGGAGAGTAGTGTTTGCAGAGCAGAAAGAGACCTGAGAGTACTAGCAATAGCCAGACAGGAACCTCCAAGGACAACAGCAAGGCACTCAGGGATCTCAGGCTAAACACCAGGCTTGCACCAAAGCACAGAGTGCAAGCAGCCAGGGACGCTCTGCTAGCAGGACTGGAACTAGAGACTCAGGAGACAAGACAGACAGGACCAATGGCAGAACTAAAGCACTAACAAACTTCTACAAATAAAACACAATAGACTTAGGAAACAAGAAACTAGCCAAGTAGCACAGATTTAAACAGTAGCACAACATTCAACGAACTGGCAACACATGAGGGAAAGAGCACACACATAAAGGGAGTTAACAAGATTAACAGGTGAGAACACTTAGACAAGGAACAGGTGAACACTCACGTAAACGAGGACTGAAACAAGGGAGCAGAGAACATGAGGAACAGGTGACAACACTCAGACAAACGAGGACTCAACTAGACAAGAGGGCGTGGTACAGAGAAACAAGAAGCAGGAACAGAGGAGCACATGGCCAACACAAACAACCATATGCTCAAGCACAACACAAACCTAGAGACATGAAACAAAGACAACACAGACAAAGCTGCCAGAGCAAGACCCTGACAGTACCCCCCATCTAATGGACGCCTCCAGGCGTCCAAAACAGGCATAGAAGTCCAAGGAGGCAACAACTGGGGAGGCGGGTGGGGCATAAACATAGAAGTCCCAAACTGACCAGGAAACACAGAGGGAGGGATGGGGCGGGTGGGAACAGAACCGGGTAAAAAGTTCAAGGCTGACAAAGGAGGTGCCGGCTTAGGGGAACCATAACCAGGAAACGCAGAGGGTGAGATGGGAGGAATGGGAACTTGATAGTAGGTACTCTTGGACACAGGAACTGGCCTAACTGGTCTGGACTTCCAACTGGGCTTGACAGACTTGGGGGCAAATACATGACTAGCAGGATTGGTGAAGGTCTTGGAATCAGGTACAGGGACTGACTCAGGAGTGCCCTCCTGAGCTGTACTGGCGTGCTCGGGGACTGACTCGTTAGCGCCCTCCTGGGCAGCACTGGCGTGCTCGGGGACTGACTCGTTAGCGCCCTCCTGGGCTGCGCTGGCGTGCACAGGGACTGACTCGGGAGCGCCCTCCTGGGCTGCGCTGGCGTGCACAGGGACTGACTCGGGAGCGTCCTCCTGGGCTGCGCTCTCTGGAGCTCTCTGGCTCTCTGGAGCAGCGGACTTGGAAACAGCCTCCTCTGAAGCTGGCCCAGAAACAGCTCTTTCTGTAGTGGGCTCGGGAACAGCTTCCTCTGTAGTGGACTTGGGAACAACAACTGATGCTGGCTCGGACACAGTGCTAACCGAAGCAGCCGGCTCGGGAAACGCCCTCTCAGCAGCGGCCGGCTCGGGAAACGCCCTCTCAGCAGCGGTGGGCTCGGGAAACGCCCTCTCAGCAGCGGTGGGCTCGGGAAACGCCCTCTCAGCAGCGGCCGGCTCGGGAAACGCCCTCTCAGCAGCGGCCGGCTCAGGAAACGCCCTCTCAGCAGCGGCCGGCTCGGGAAACGCCCTCTCAGCAGCGGCGGGCTCGCATTCTGCGGTCTTGACAGGCTTGGCATAAATGTCTAGGGACTTGACAAGACTTGTAAGACATTCAGAGAAGGCCTCTGCGGCAATGACAACAGGCAGCTTGGGAATGACCTCTGTGAACATGACATGACTGGGAGAAATTGTCTCTGAGGGAATGACATTACTAGTCAATGGCTTAGAAAATGGTTCTACTGGAATTGATACCTCAGGAACCACTGGACCTGGAGCTTGAGAATGGAGAATTGTAGACTGTTCTGCACAGGCCCTTCTCTTCTTCCTCCTTCGACGGGCTGATACTGTGTGCTGGACAGCCTCTGTAGTATCTACAGCTAACTCAGCCAAACCAGGCAGAATAGCAGTGACCGTCGACTCAGTGACTGAAACAGACCTAGCAGACTCTGAAGTAACAGGAACACTCTGGGTAGTTACTGGGAAAAAAGAGGTTAAATCAGCAGACTCAGAGGTGACTGGAACTGCCTTAATTGTCTGAGAGATGACAGCGGTTGACTTGACTGGGTCTTGAATAACAGATATTGAAGTGACTGGGACTGACCTGGATCCCTGAGAGATGGCGGTTTGTTTGACTGACTCAAGTGTAGCTGTGGTGGATTGGACTGCCCAATTCCGTCTGAATCTTAGTCTTTTAGTGGAAGCCAGAGGAGGATCATAAATGTGACGAGACAGGCGAGGAAGGGCAAGGTGGTTGTTGAAAGCAGATTCCGGTGGATGTGGCGGCATTCCCCACTTACTGCGATTACCAAGGTACCTAGAGAAACCCCAGAAATCCAGAATCCTGAGAGAATCCATCTCCCATGCAGGCAGGGGGTCATCCAAGCAGGAGTTAAAAATGTCCTTGAGAGCAGCGTCATTATACTCTAGCCCCACAGACATGGTCCAAAAGAATTGGGCAAAACCCCCCACCTCAAAGCCATCCTGGCGAAGAGCAGTGAGACCACGATGACGAGACATTCTCTCCTGGATGTTAGCAGGTGGCAGGATCTTGATGCTCATTCTGCTGAGTCCTGAACGGGCCAGTTCGTTCGGTCACGGGTCTATGAAGGAGGACTCAAATGCAGAACGAGTGTTAACAGGTTTATTGACAAACAGTAGACAAGATGTGGTGGGAGAGGTGAACAGTCCAGACAAAAGGCAGGGATGAGACACAAAGACAGCCGATGCAGCAAAACTTGCAGAGCAGCAGCTGTAGCTAGCACAAGAAGACTGTAGGCTGGAGAGTAGTGTTTGCAGAGCAGAAAGAGACCTGAGAGTACTAGCAATAGCCAGACAGGAACCTCCAAGGACAACAGCAAGGCACTCAGGGATCTCAGGCTAAGCACCAGGCTTGCACCAAAGCACAGAGTGCAAGCAGCCAGGGACGCTCTGCTAGCAGGACTGGAACTAGAGACTCAGGAGACAAGACAGACAGGACCAATGGCAGAACTAAAGCACTAACAAACTTCTACAAATAAAACACAATAGACTTAGGAAACAAGAAACTAGCCAAGTAGCACAGATTTAAACAGTAGCACAACATTCAACGAACTGGCAACACATGAGGGAAAGAGCACACACATAAAGGGAGTTAACAAGAGTAACAGGTGAGAACACTTAGACAAGGAACAGGTGAACACTCACGTAAACGAGGACTGAAACAAGGGAGCAGAGAACATGAGGAACAGGTGACAACACTCAGACAAACGAGGACTCAACTAGACAAGAGGGCGTGGTACAGAGAAACAAGAAGCAGGAACAGAGGAGCACATGGCCAACACAAACAACCATATGCTCAAGCACAACACAAACATAGAGACATGAAACAAAGACAACACAGACAAAGCTGCCAGAGCAAGACCCTGACAGTTGATGATTTGAGAGCACTGAGTTTGTGTATAATCAGTTGAGAAAACCTCAGAAGTTCTAAAATCATAATGGTAAAAAAATGTCAAAAGGTGTACTGTATATATTTTTCTCTGTGTTTGTACTGTGTTTAAGTTTTATTCAAATGTTTGTTTGGAGTTACTGAATTGAATGCAGTGCTGTAAGAAGATATTTAGAGAGCAAGAGAGAAACAATGTGGCTTGTAATACATGGTGGGTGAAATTAGCGGGTTAGCCGAGACTGTTTTCACAACAGACTCAATACACATATTTCTATTTGAAAGCTCCGAAAATAAAGACAACTATTTAAATGTTCTGGTAAAATGCATGTAGGCCTATATGTATCATAATCCATCTAAGGCCTTGCTTCACAGTAACAAACTGTTTATCATAGGCAAGCCATCAATACAAAATGGTAAATATAAAGAAATCCCACTGTCAGAGTAGACTGAATGTTATTTGTCTTTTTTTTATTTTTATTATCTTTGCTGTCACTGTATGTCTTTCTCCTATAGCTAAATAAAATTCGTCATGGAACGAAGGTTTTGATGGTCCTTTGTCCCCTATTAAAGAGTAGGAGGGCACATGAATTAAAAAAATATATATATCTGCAGGGTCAAATAATTTATAATAAAATACTGCAATATTCCATGAAAATAAGAATTGTCAATTTTGATTTCATAGTAGAGAAGCATCCATTGTGGCTATAAACTGAATCACTATAACCGAGGATAAGACATAGGGCCCTATCTTGCACTCGGCGCAAATGACTTTGTACACTGACGCATGTATCATTCCTATTTTGCACCCGCGCAAAGCGGACTTTTCCCTCCACAGACGCACGTCGGTTAACTAAGAAATACACTTGCGCTCCCCGGGGCGGTTCAGCGCAAAGAGGAGGCGTGTTCCGGCGCAAACTTTCCCTCATGCTATTTTGCTGTTCTATAAAACAATTGCGCCACTGACCAGAAAAAAACTAGTCTAAAGTCAGTGGCGCGTTGCGCGTTGTTCATTATGCTATTTTAAGGGCGCATGCTTGGCCATAATCAATGTAGCGTGTGCACAACGCGCATACACTTTGATTCTCTCATCTAAGCAGCAGTTTTCATTTTTGCAAATCATACATTATTACGATAGATAGATAGATAGATAGATAGATAGATAGATAGATAGATACTGTAGATAGATAGATAGATAGATAGATAGATAGATAGATAGATAGATAGATAGATAGATAGATAGATAGATAGATAGATAGAAGACAATTTATTATAAAAGCATGTAGCTTACACATTTACCCAAATTATCATACGCCTGTTTTACAGAAGTTAATTTGGGT